ATGTTGGTCTAGAAGAGAAGGAGATCAGATCAAGCTGTTCTCTTTATGATATGGACTCCACTGTCTGTATCGACAATGTCGCTTATATCTCCAACCTTGAGTGCAAACGTTGCTTCCTCAAACGGTTTCTGCATTTGACCTCGACCAAAAGGACCTGAACACAGTCGCACAATCAACATTGAAAAACTTCAGCATAAGATTTATGAGCATATCAATTTTAGATTCATCAATGAAGAAGCATTAGAACTAACTAGACAATAGTACGGTTTATGAGCACCAACTATGGATTCATCAAGAAAGAAACCTTAGACAATCGTAAGATTTAGGAGCACCAATTATAGATTGATCAAGGAAGAAACTTCAGATTATAAATATCAGTGATGAATGATGATCTAAGGACACATTAGTCAAATTTACGAGCACTAATGATAGATTTATCAAAGAATAAATTTCAGTTCCTAATCACAGGGCGAATGCAACCGAGTCGCATAGTCTCGAGTAAATCAGGTTTTATAATTCTGAAGCAAAGAGATACACAATTCAGTGCATGGAGAGGCGAGGAAGAAAGAAAGAGGTCAAAATAGGTTTTAATACGACTAAATTTCTCAAGCAGCTGAATCGTGAATCCTTTGTCGAGGTCATCGGTGTGATCTCTGTCCCCGAGGTTCATGTGACCGGAAGCACGCAGCAGTAAGTTAGTTTCCTTTTCTTCTCCTCCCAATTCATACTGAAACCTATTTTGGCCTCTTCTTCCTACCTCGCAACGCACTACACTGTGTATCCTCTTTGAATCCAAAATTATGAGCACCAATTATAGATCCAATTTCGATACTAAGCAGACTAGGTACTCAATTTCGATACGCAGTGTTAGAAGAATCCAATTTCATTCATCTATGACCTAAAAACTCACTGATCTTCACTATAACACTACACACTTCAAAATCGTAGGACGATAAAAAAATCAATGAACTAGAGATTTTGGGGATTAAGAACAAACCGAGATCGCCGCCGCGTTTAGCAGAGCTACAATCGGAAACACGAGTCGCAACCTCCTCGAAGTTAGCTTTGCCGGAGACGATGTCTTCACGGATCGATTTAAGCTGTTCGACGGCAGCTTCTCTGGTAATGGTCATGATGATTTTTCCTTCTGGATCTTTCCACGAAGCTTTCCTACGAGATCCTTGATGCTTAATCAGAATATGCGATGCTTTAACTTGATCTCTCGACGACATCTTGCTCTTCTTAC